TAAATTGAGTTATATAATTAGCATGCGTAGGGTGATAGAATGCACAGTGATGTGAGTATCATTTGCAGCATTGAACATTCCATGCACTGCATTGTTATTACTCTAATCCCAAGACACCTGCAAGTTACAACAAACACATGCATTATGAATACCATAATTGCTTTATTAGTAGCACATATATTTATGTAATTGACAAAATGGTCAAATAAGTCGTATTTTGATGTTTCTGTATATGTACACATGCTTCCAATGTAGCAATTATGGTAATATGTGCAATTCTAGCAAAAATATATGCTAATGTAATTCCATATCTTAGAACCTGATCTTTAAACAAAATAGTGCATTGATGAATATTTATAAATTTTCTCTTTAATTTATTTGTATTCTCCTTGGTTCTCAAAATTCAAGTTATTAGGTAAATTAAGCCATGGAGTTATTAATACACAAAATAATCAGGTACAGATGATCACTACATTTCGATATCAAGCAGTGACTATCAACTTTTATAGTTTGAAGTTGTATAATATTCTTGAAAGCATGTGAACTGAAACTAAATACTTTGTTAAAATTGAAAACTTTGCAAAATAGGAAGAAAAAACTGGTGATAACAAAATTGTCGTGGTTAGTGGAACGAGATGTGCATATGCTTACAATGTAAAAATAAAACAACAAAATTGTTGATAACAAAAAAGGCTTTACCTAAGAAAAAAACATGCAACATCAGATTACATTGATGTACCCTCTAGTGCAGATTAGTGTGCCCTCTAGAGGCAGAATTTAATACCATGCATATTCACTTAAACTGTGCAGTTAATAAATTAACCTCAATTCAGTTCAAAACAGTTCAATATTTCAAAAATCCCCTGATAACTGACAGCAAAGAACAATTTGTACTGAATCTCAAATTAAAACTTACGGTACTTTGGTGCGACCCTCCTCCATGTCCTTCTCTCCAACTGGCGTCTTGCCACACAGGTTGACACACAGACACATCAGGATACCACAGTCGTTCATACAATAGCAAGTGACGTCAACAATGATGAGAAGAAGAAAGAAAATCGCTATGACGATTCCAATGATAGCACCGGTAGTAAGTGCAGCTGTACCAATCTGTGGGCCTGGTTTTATCGTATAGTCAACTGATTACAACGAAAGGAAAAGCAGATTATGAGGTGACGTGGTTTTGGGTTGTTATTAAGAGATTATGAAATCTCTGCTTAAATCAAAATCAACAGCTATACATAGACTATAAGCTGTTGTACAAAGTCTACCATTATTAGTATTCATAGGGTTCATACGCCTCTAATGAAATAAAGTTTTTCTGTATTTCATCACAACTTTATTCAGTAGATTTTAATGCAAATTGTTCAATTTTCCAAGACTTTGCAAGACCCCTGTCAATTCCATGACCATCCAGGACTGTGTGAATCATGTACTCTGTAGAAATTTACAATCAGTGTATTTTACATTTCTACATTAACATACCAGTATCTTTAAAATGCAACAAACAATAACATTTATTTATTTCTATTCATAGTTTAGAGCATAGTATAAAGCACTATAAAATAGACAATCTAAAAAAACTACAGAGAATCTTTTCAAAAAGTTATGATCAGTCATGCTGAAAAATGTTAATAGCAAGCTAATAATATGTACTGAGCTGTTGTATTGAAGGACTATGTAATTTCTCAGGTTGAAATTGAAGCAAGTAGACTTTTAGACTTCAGACAACAGTTACTGCAGCTGTGTATGGATTTCATGTAAATGAACAACACATTAGACTGGCATGTGTATATATTGCTATGTGGTGTGTTCAGTCGTTGTGCATATAATTGATATGGTACATTCAGTCAAGGTGATTCATCCAATTGGGGTGACGTGTTCAGTCGCCCTGGTGCATTCAATTGGGGTGACGTGTTCAGTCGCCCTGGTGCGTTCAATTGGGGTGACGCGTTCAGTCGCCCTGGTGCATTCAATTAGGGTGACGTGTTCAGTCGCCCTGGTGCGTTCAATTGGGGTGACGTGTTCAGTCGCCCTGGTGCGTTCAATTGGGGTGGTGTGTTCAGTCGCCCTGGTGCGTTCAATTGGGGTGGTGTGTTCAGTCGCCCTGGTGCGTTCAATTGGGGTGACGTGTTCAGTCGCCCTGGTGCATTCAATTAGGGTGACGTGTTCAGTCGCCCTGGTGCGTTCAATTGGGGTGGTGTGTTCAGTCGCCCTGGTGCGTTCAATTGGGGTGGTGTGTTCAGTCGCCCTGGTGCGTTCAATTGGGGTGGTGTGTTCAGTCGCCCTGGTGCGTTCAATTGGGGTGACGTGTTCAGTCGCCCTGGTGCGTTCAATTAGGGTGGTGTGTTCAGTCACCCTGGTGCATTCAATTAGGGTGGTGTGTTCAGTCGCCCTGGTGCATTAAATTGGGTGGTGTGTTCAGTTGCCCTGGTGCATTAAATTGGGGTGGTGTTCAGTCGCCCTGGTGCATTAAATTGGGGTGGTGTGTTCAGTCGCCCTGGTGCATTAAATTGGGGTGGCGTGTTCAGTCGACCTGGTGTGTTCAATTGGAGTGGTGTGTTCAGTCGCCCTGGTGTGTTCAATTGGAGTGGTGTGCTCAGTCGACTTGGTGCATTAAATTGGGGTGGTGTGTTAAGTCGCCCTGGTGCATTAAATTGGGGTTGTGTGTTCAGTCGACCTGGTGTGTTCAATTGGAGTGGTGTGTTCAGTCGCCCTGGTGCGTTCAATTGAAGTGGTGTGTTCAGTCGCCCTGGTGCGTTCAATTGGGGTGGTGTTCAGTCGCCCTGGTGCATTAAATTGGGGTGGTGCGTTCAGTCAACGTGTTGCAATCAGTTGATATGGTGCGTTCTTTTGATGTGATGCATTCACTCGTTGTAGTGCATTCAGTCAGCTGGGCACATTTAGGTGACGTTGTGTATTAACTATCTATACAAGTAATAAACTCTTATTAAGCATCCTCTTTTCAGTATGCCTGGTAGACAAGAGAAAGACGAGTCATGAAGGTAGACCATTAGGTGCAGCGTGCAAGCGACAGTTTGAGTCTTGCACACAGTAAATATTTATTTTGATTTGAAATTTACTTTTGTAGCTACCATGACTTTTAATAAGTGCACTCTTAAATTAAGTTTAATCTGTGGACAATAGACCTCCAGTACTCTTGAAATAAAATGGGCTGGAAAAAGCAAAAACATAAAATATATTTGTTTAAGCTTGTTTTGAGTGTGTTTCATATATTTGTGTGAATGCAACTTTAATTATTTCAAACACAATGCTAGAAGAAAAAAAAATTAAATAATCTGTAATAATGAAATGGCAAGAATGTTAAAAGTTACTGTTGATATCATGCAATTGCTGACAGGAAGAACGAGATAGTGTCAGGCTATCAACTCATTTATTTAAAGTGCAAAAATCTCCTATGATTATGAACAGTGCCATCTAGTGTTCAAATATTAACTAATATTAAGAGAAAAATGACAAATTTATTGGTGAGGATTGTGCTCATAGCGAGGGTTATTTGGTGAAGTTGATTTTGACAGTGAGGGGTGAGGACTTAAACATCAAATTTCGCAATAATAAATATGGTTTTTCATTTTCCATGACAGTATTTAAGGAAACTGAGAGTGCCCTACTTATGAAAAATGCCTATTGATACAGGGCGCTGCTAAAATGAAATTTATTTGGTTTACTTCTATTATGTTCTGAATGCAAATCATTTCACAGAGAGAAGCAGGGCTCAAGTTTTGTGGATTTTTACTTTATTCTTATTTTGTTTTTTCTTCTGTCCAACACTTTGTAAATCAAATCAGTAATGAACCCCACCCTAATGAGCCAACCGCTAACCAATTTTTGTCATGTCTTGTTTGAAAAAAAAATATAATCTTAACACAAACTCCCCTCAAAATAAGAACCCAGATAATTCACCAGTGTCCCCTCTAAGAAAACAATTTGCAGCCAAGTAGTCTTCAGACTTGGGACCTCATGAAATAAATACTTAACACTTAACACAAGGCCTGCTAATTTTTCAGTTTTTTCCCCACTCATTTTTTGCTTTCACCAAATGACACAAAAAAACCTGAATATAATGATACTCCTGGATACAAAGTAAGTTAGATATCTGAAAATATTTTCCATATACTATGATTTTTTTCTATAATTTCTAATTGGCAATAGGTCTTGAAGAACAGGTATAAAAAATGATGTGTGTTCATTTTGAATAAGTAAGAAAAAGATTACGAAGAGGAAACACTGGTGTTATATTTGAATTAAAACTATGGTGATAGATTGAAATGATTGACTTACACAAAATGTACACAGATGATAAGAGGAATGAGAAAGAGAAAATACATTGTTATGATTAGTGACAATAGAATGTGCGCCCTCTATAGTTTGAAAATCACAAATCTTTATATAGCCCCCTCTACAGGTACCTTTAATGTGTATTAGCCCCCTTCCCCAACCGAATAGGAAATGTGATTACAAGGCTATAATTGACAACATGCAGAACACCAAGTGACTATTTTCAATTGAAAGTTATCAAGAACAAGCAAGTCTTCTTACAAATCATTCATCATACGTACATCTCATTATTTTATGGATATGTGATATGGGAAGTGATTAAAACTGTTCACTAATTATTCTTTTAGGAAGCAGAGTAAAATAGAAAATTCAGGAGAATTTTGCATTTTCAAAATATCAAGGTAAAACCCTGCAGTATCCATTTTAAACTGATGAGCATGTGGACAACTTTTTTTAATTGACCTACTAAACATGCAAGAGAATATACAATGTTTACTAGGTGGAATGAAAGCATTACAGACAATTTCATCAGGTTATTTAGTTGCACTGCTGAACCATACAAAACAGAGGCCTGAGATCACTACCTGTTTGCAGGAACAATCCAAAGACCAACTAATAAATTGGTAGATATTATACAAAGGTGTTTGTATCAAGTTGCATAGATCACAAGAAATGTAATAGAAGTGTTTGATCTAAACAAATGTTCAAATGTGATATAAATAATCTGGAAAGTAAACAAAAATAGCTTTTTACCCAATGAATGCTAAATTCCTTTGTTTTTTTAATAATTTTTTTTCTGAGTGCAAATGTTTTTTTTTTACTCTCTGCTCCTTCATATATTTCCAAATCTTTACAAGAGACATACAAGGAGTTATAAAATTTCCTAAGAAAGTCTCGAACATTACAATATAGCGTGCAACTTTCTTATTGGCATTATTTCTTATTGGCCAATTAATTTTAAACTCATTAATTTTTGTCTCAGTCTGTTTTCATATTAAAACATTGTTGTGCCAATACAAAGGATTAAGTTGTGAATTATTCATACAAATCTTATATGCGGTCTTTTCAACTGTCTGGCAGAAAAGTTGCAAGTTCCATGTACGAATGTTGTTTGCACCTGCTATAATGTTAATACATCCCATCAGTACTAAGCAGAGGAATTAATGTGTAAACAGATAACAGTGCTAATGTTAATATGTAAATATTGCATACCTAATCTAGGCTTAGTAGGTCCTACAGTAGGAGCGGTCCTTCCAGTAGAAATGGTTAGAGCAGCAACATCACCTCTGCCTATTGAGTTAATAGCTAGCAATTCAACGTCATAGGAGGTTTCTGGTTTTAAGTCTTCTATTAAGTAGTCTGTTGAATAGTTAGGGATGCCACTCTTATCTTTCCAGAATCCACTGCCTTGTGGACTACCATCTTCGGCAAAGAACAACTGCAAAGAAAGATTCAAATGATGGTTGAAAATAATTTTACCAATCACAACAATGCAGCGAATGCATGACAGTTAATCAACCTACGATTGGAAGAAACCTGCAGAGACTCGTAGTTAATGGGGGTTACCAAATGGCTTCTAGCCAGTGAAAGCAAGAGTGGAGTTCCAGCATGATCAGGTCTTGATCATTTAAACATACCTCTCGATATTTTAACTCATAAAACCTGATTTCCATTCCACCGTCTTTAGGTGTAATCCACTGTAGGTTGTATTTGGTGCCCATCTGTGTAGTTGGAGCACTAGTGATGATGGGAGCATATGGGTGACCTGTTGGGTATAAAAATAACCAGTTACTATCAGACACAGACATAGAATAAATTCAAAGAGTCAAACAACCACTCAAGAATTAGGTAGCACATCATGTTTGTCATTTGCACTCCGAAATCATTGCTGAGGCTTTGTTTGTGTTCTGGGACTATGAAACATTTCATCGTTTGAATTTGTGTAAATTACAAAAAATTTGATAGTTGAATTTGTGTAAATAAAAAAAACAGATTTGATGGATTGAATTTATGCATATAAAAAAAAACAGATTTGATGGCTTGAATTTATGCAAATTACAAAAAACATTTGATATTTGAAATTGCATATTAAATTACTGGAAAAATTTGAATTTGTGAAAATTACAATAATTTGTGTGCATGCAAATGTACTTTTGGCTCTTCGTAGTCAATAAAATGCCAATAATTTATTAGAAGTTACCTCAGAATGTAACTTTCATAACTATTTCTATATAGAAATGTTTATGTTTTAAACAACATTTGTATATGTATCATCAGTATTCTCCTCAGCAGCTTATGTTCTGCTTGTTATGCTATGGTAATGAGACTTCAATTC